TCAAAAAAAAAAAAAAAAAAATTAATTAATTCACCAAAAAGACATAACACTCCTAAAAGTGTATGCATCTAACAACAGAGCTTCAAAATATATGAAGGGATACTGATACAACTGACAGGAGAAACAGACAAATCTGCAATAATAACTGTATACTCAATACTTTTTTCTCAGTAACTGATAGAACCAGTAGACAGAAAATCAGCAAGAATATAGAACTAAACACCATCAACCAACTGTATGCAATTGAGATATACAAAACACTCCTGTAAAACAAACAAAACACTCCTGTAAAACACTCCTGTAAAACAACAGCTGGGACTACAGGCACGTGCCACCACGCCTGGCTAATTTTGTATATACATTCTTTTCAAGTGCACATGGAACATTCACCAAGAAAGACCATGAGTCAGAAAACCAAATTTAACAAGTGTAAAAGACCTGAAATCATACAAAGTATAATATGTTCTCAGACCATAATGAATTTTTTATAGTAATAGATAACAGGAAAATCTCTAGGTACTTGAAAATTAAACATCATTCTTCTAAATAATATATTGGTCAAAAAGGAAGTCTCAAAGAAAATTAGAAAATACTTCAAACTGAACAAAAATGAAAATACAACATATGAAAATTTGTGGGATGCAGCTAAAGAAGTGCTTAGAGGAGGCCGGATGTGGTGGCTCACACCTGTGATCCCAGCACTTTGGGAAGCCGAGGCAGGTGGATCACCTGAGATCAGGAGTTTGGGACCAGCCTGCCCAACATGGCGAAACCCTGTCTCCACTAAAAATACAAAAAAATTAGCTGGGCGTGGTGGTGGGCGCCTGTAGTCCCAACTACTCAGGAGGCTGAGGCAGGAGAATCTCTTGAACCCCGGAGGCAGAGGTTGCAGTGAGCCGAGATCGCACCACTACACTCCTGCCTAAGTGACAGAGCAAGACTCCATCTCAAAAAAAAAAAAAAAAAAAAAAAAAAATCACCATATGATCCAGTAATGTCACTCCTGGGTATATATCCAAAGGACCTGAAATTAGTATGTCAAGGAGATATCTACAATCCCATGTTTACTGCAGCATTATTCGCAACAGCCAAGTTATGGAATCAACCTCAGTTTCCATCAGTGGATGAACAGATAAAGAAAATGTGGCATATATACACAATGGAATATCATTCAGCCTTTAAAAAGAAGGAAATTCAGGCCAGGAGCAGTGGCTCACGCCTGTAGTCCCAGCACATAGGGAGGCCAAGGCAGGCAGATCACCTGAGGTCAGGAGTTCAAGACCAGTTTGGTCAACATGGTGAAACCCCATCTCTACTAAAAATAGAAAAATTAACCGGGCATGGTGGCAGGTGCCTGTAATCCCAGCTACTCAGGAGGCTGGGGCAGGAGAATCACTTGAACCTGGGAGGCGGAAGTTGCAGTGAGCCAAGCAGCCTGGGCGACAAAGCAAGACTCCATCTCAAAAAAAGAAAAAAGAAGGAAATTCTGCCGTTTGCAACAATGGATGAACCTGGGGAACATTATCCTAAGTAAAATAAGCCAGGCACAGAAAGATAAATACTGCATGTGCTCACTCATATGTAGAAGCTTAAAAAGTTCTCATAGAAGTAGAGTTGTTCTCATAGAAGAACAGTGGTTACTAGAGGCAGGGAAGGGTTGGGGGGTGGGTAGCCAAAGGTTGGTTAACAGATACATAAGTAGAGCTGGATAGGAGGAATAAGTTCTAGCATTCTACAGCACTGTAGGGTGACCATAATTAACAACAATTTAGTGTATATTTTCAAATAGCCAGAAGAGAGGCTTTTCAATGTTCTCAATACTAAGAAATAAATGTTTGATATGGATATGCTAATTATCTTGATTTGATCATTACACATTGTAGACATTTACCAAAACATCCCAGTATACCCCATAAATACGTATAATTATTATGTGTCAATTTAAAATAATAAGGCCGGGCACAGTGGCTCACGCCTGTAATCCCAGCACTTTGGGAGGCCGAGGCAGGCGATCACCTGAGGTCAGCGGTTTGAGACCAGCCTGCCCAACATGGTGAAACCCCATCTCTACTAAAAATACAAAAATTAGCCAGGCATGGTGGTGCATGCCTGTAGTCCCAGCTACTCAGGAGGAAGGCAGGGGAATTGCTTGAACCTGGGAGCCGGAGGTTGCAGTGAGCCGAGATCACACCACTGCACTCCAGCCTGGGCGACAGAGCAAGACTCCATCTCAAAAAAAAATTTAAGGCCGGGAGCAGTGGCTCATGCCTGTAATCCCAGCACTTTGGGAGGCTGAGGCGGGTGGATCACAAGGTCAGGAGATGGAGACCATCTGGGCTAACACGGTGAAACCCCGTCTCTACTAAAAATACAAAAAATGAGCCGGGCGTGGTGGTGGGCGCCTATAGTCCCAGCTACTCGGAAGGCTGAGGCAGGAGAATGGTGTGAACCCAGGAGGCGGAGCTTGCAGCGAGCTGAGATCGCACCACTGCACTCCAGCCTGGGTGACAGAGCGAGACTCCGTCTCAAAAAAATAAAATAAAATAAAATAAAAATTAAATAAAAAAATAATAAAAGCAAAAAAAAATTATTAACAATTGGGGTTAGAACAATTGGAAATCCATATGCAAAATGAACCCTGACCTAATCCTCACACCTTACACAAAAATTAATGCAAAAGGGCCAGGCGCAGTGGCTCATGCCTGTAATCCCACCACTTTGGGAGGCCAAGGTGGGTGGATCACCTGAGGTCAGGAGTTCGAGACCAGCCTGGCCAACATGGTGAAACCCCAACTCTACTAAGAATATAAAAATTAGCCAGGTGTGGTGGTGCATGCCTGTAGTCCCAGCTACTCGGGAGGCTGAGGCAAGTGATTCTTATCACTTGAACCCAGGAGGTGGAGGTTGCAGTGAGCCGAGATGGCGCCGCTGCACTCTAGCCTGGGCAATACAGTGAGACTCCATCTCAAAAAAAAAAAAAAATTAATGCAAAAGGAATCATCTATCTAAATGTAAAATCTAAAACTATAAAATTATAGAATAGGAGAAAATCTTCATGACCTAGTGTTAGGCAAAGTTCTTAGACATGACACCAAGGGCATGATCCATAAATAAATGATTCATAAATTGGAAATTTTCCAAATTAAAAAGTTTTGCTCTGCAAACAACAATGTACGAGAAGAAAAGGACAAGCAATACACTTGGAGAAAGCATTTGCGAACCGTGTATCTGACAAAGGACCTGTATAAAGGATATATAAAGAACTCTCAAAACTCAACAGCAAGAAAATCCAGTTGAAAAATGGGCACAAACTTTTGAACAGACATTCATCAAGAGGATAGACCAAAAGTAAATAAGCATATATAAAGATGCTTAACATCTTTAACCATTAAGGAAATGCAAATTAAAATCATTATGAGATAAACGACTACATAAAAGATACTGACAATACCAAGTACTGACAAAAATATGAAACAATTGGAACTCATACATTGCTGGGAGAAATGAAAAATGGTTCAACCGCTCTAGAAAATAATTTGGCAGATTCCTAAAAAGTTAAACATACACTTACCATATGACCCAGTAATCCAATATTTACTCCGCAGAAATGAAAACCTATGTTCACACAAAGCCCTGTGCATGATTGTTTAAAGTAGCTCTACTCAATTGCCAAAAACTGGAAATAACCCAAATGTCAACAGGAGAATGGATAAATACACTGAGGAACATTTATACCATGGACTACTATTCAGCAATAACAAAGAAACAACTACTGACACACACAACTTTGATGAATCTCCAGGGAATTGTGCTGAGTGGAAACAAACACAAAAAAATCCCAAAAGGTCACATACCATACGATCCACTTCTATTACATTCTTGAAACGACAAAATTCCCAAAACGGAAAACAGATTTGTAGCTGCCAAGAGTTTAGGAATGGGTATGGTGGAGGAAGGGTAGTGGCTATGGCCGTAAGGGACAACTTGAGGGATTCTTGCGATGATGGGGCTTGACCATATCAGTGTCAACATCCTGACTTTGATATTGTACTATGGTTTTTGCAGGATGTTATCATTGGGGGAATCTAGGAAAAGAGTACACAGGATTTCTCTGTATTATTCTTTCAATTGCATGTAAATCAATCATCTCAGAAAGAAAAGGTTACATAATACATGACACCCCACTTATATGACATTCTTGAAAAGACAAAACTATAGTGACACAGAACAGACCTGCCACTGCCTGAGGTTACAGGTTGGGGAAGATATGACTATTAACAGAGTAGCATGAAGGAGTTTTTTGGGGTGATGAAACTATTATCTGTCCTATAGATTAGTTACACCAATCTAACAGAAAAATCAATTTCACTGTATGTTAATTTAAAAAATAAAAATGTTTAAAGTGAAAGAAAAAATATGGTGGGTTGCAGGTATCTGAAAAATTTTTGTCTCTTGGACAGAAGATAATTCAAAGTCCAACTAAGAAAACTGCTTCAGGAAAATCATTGGAAAGACAAGCAGGTTCCCTAAGAGATTTCATTCCCAAGTTACATTTTGATGTGGTATCTCCAGTTCACTGAGGAAAGCTATAGGATATATCTGCAGGAAAGCATTTGTCACCAGGCTGTGGTTGAGGGCAACTGCACTATCCACATGAAGACCCAGCAAAGAAATACCTTTAAACACAATTCCAGGCAACCTTGACTTCCCATGAAGGCTGTGTGCTCTCTCCTGATGAGTAAGGTGAGCCAAGGTACTGCTTATGTTTCCTTTGGCTACCAGAAGGCTCAAAGAGAAACTGACAACCCAACATCAATATCTGTTACACCCTGAGTCCTGCACACCTCTACATTCTAACTTGGCCTTGATCTGTTGTCTCTTATTTTGTCTAATCCTAATCCTTATTTACAAATACTTTCCTATTTTATGGCAGGGATTTCCACATATTTTGCTACATCCACAGTAAAATAGAGGAATGAAGAAACAGACAACATACTTACCTGGGGTTTGGCCATTTCCTGCTCTTCTTGGGAAAAAGCAGATATGTGTAACGGCTGAGCTGGAACAAGTGGAGAAGAGTAGAGCAGATGAGGAGACCCCATCAGACTTTCAGTGCCCAGAATTAGCTGCCTAGCAATCCCCTCACATCAGCTGGCCATCAGACTGCTCTCTGGAACCAGAGTCTGGGCAACCATGTGATTTTAACAATCTATGTATTATTCACTCTTCATGCGAACATTGAACACAAAAGGTTTTATACACACATATCTTAAATTGTGTACTGACCTATAAAGTGTATTTCTAGGTATTTTCCTTAAGGAAATAATTTATCATAATGTATCATAATTTCTCTGTACGTACCCATGTCTCAGCATTGATTTTAATAATGCCAAACTTAAACGATCCTCTATGACACATAAGGGATTAATAATAACAAAATATAAAAGATAAAATGCTACAAAGCTGTTAAAAGTGTTATATGGAATTGTACAGTATCTATGCACTTTGTGGTACATATATCTCAACTAAACGTTTTTTAAAGGTGTACAAAAAAATCTTAAGCTGAATTACATTAAACTTTTATATGAAAACAAAGTAGGTTTTAAAACTGTGGGAATCCATTTTAAAGCTATATGTTAAATGTTTAAAAGGCATACCCCTATACACACCAAAAATGTCTAAAAATGGACATTTAAATGCGTGGGGGAAGAATTAGTTCCTTTTGATTTTCTTTTCCTCTATTTCTGAATTAATCTATACTTCAAATGTTATTTATTAAATGCCAAAAAAACCACACTCTAAAACTATTGTCCCAATTACATTTTACCCCCATCTCCCTCAGACCCCGCACCTACCCCTCCTCCCAGGTCCCCAACTCTGGGCGAGGCCCGGGGTCAGGTGAGACCTCGCAGGTGCCTCTCCTTCCTTCTGCTCACCTCACCGGGGCCGCCTTGCCCAGGAGCCGGAAAGAGGCCTTCGGGTGCGGGGGTGCAGGTTCACTTCGGCCGGAGCATTCACACCAGGTCCCCACCTCGGGGCTTGGGCAAGGGGATAGAGCAGAGGGAGGAGCGGGGCGCGTCTAAAGAGGGGCCTGAGGGATGGGCATGAACCCTTAGGGGCAGGTCACTGTGCTGGAAAATGTGTAAAAGTCAAAGTTTAATAAGCCCCATTCAATCCTGCTTAGCCCCCATAACTTTGTTCACCAGCGAGCCCCTAGAACCTCGTCCACTGACCTCTCGGTCCCCCATCACTCAACCCCCAGCTCCCTCTTTACTCATCCCGCAGAACTCCCCATCACTCGGCCCACGACCCCTAGCATTTGCCCCCTCAACCTCACTCTCTCTGGATAACAGATTTTCTGCTCGCTGCTCAGGAGACCGTTACAAAGCCCGGCCCCAACAAGCACTTCCGCTTCGGGACCGACTCTTTGGCACCGCAGCCTAAAGGGCTGCAGCGGTCGGTTCTGCGCACGCTCAGTGGCGCCTTTGAGACCCCGTCCGCCAATAGTCAACATGGTGCCGCAGCGCAGGCGCAGAGGGAAGGTAGTCTTGCCGGTGACGTCACTCCTCCAGGCGAGAGGGCCGCGGTCACCGTGTCTTTTTGCTTCTGGGGCTGCGTCGCAGAGCGGGTGTTTACTTAGTTCTGCAGAGGCCGGTACTCCTAAGACTTCAGACACCAATTTTCTTACGGCAAGGCGGGGAGGGGAAGTGCCCAACTAAGGAAAAGATTCTAGCAGGCGGCAGTTTCGCACTTTGAACTTTGAGGGCAGCAACAGGGTTGCAAGTGTAAAAGAACGGGATGGCGGGGTCTGTGGCTAAATTGCTCTGCGTGCACAAAGAGTAGGAGGTAGGGAAAAGCCACTGGCTTCATCCAGTGGCCAGGACTGGGAGTTTACGTTGTAGCATTTGAAGGACGGTAGGTCGGTATGCAGACAAGCTGAAAAATAAACGGCGATATGGGACACACACACCAGGGGTGAAGGGGTGTATTAAGTGGTGGCTAACAGGTTGCTTTTTCTGGATGAGTAGACAGTGTCAGTGTGTTGGGAGTGTAGGAGGTGTAGGCTGGGGCCAGGTGCTGTAGGGCCTCCTTGGCCAGGGAGCTCATATTTCATTCTGGACATATAGGAAACCATAAAAAGGATCCGATTTGTAAAGACCAGTCTGAAGCAATCTAACATTATATAGTAACGTTAAAAATACACATATATTGGGCTGGGCGTGGTGGCTCATGCTTATAATCTCAGCACTTTGGGAGGCCGAGGTAGGCGGATCACCTGAGGTCAGGAGTTCAAGACCAGCCTGGCCAACATGGTGAAACCCTGTCTCTACTAAAAATACCAAAAATTAGCCGGGCTTGGTAGCGCGCCTGTGATCCCATCTACTCGGGAGGCTGAGGCAGGAGAATCACTTGAACTCGGGAGGAAGAGGTTGCAGTGAGCCATGATCACACCACTGCACTCCAGCCTGGGCAACACAGTGAGACTCCATCTCAGAAACAAAAAAACAAACAACAACAAAAAGGAATGGAGCTTCCCAGCAGACAAGACAAAGAAAGAAAGTAAAAAAGGAACTCACATCTCTTGCTCCCTGACACAGCAGCACCTCCTGGGTATACAAGTTATCCACTCTCTCAATGCATTAGGAGGTAGAAAATAGAAAGGGCTGGTCCTTTAGGGCTCATCACAGTGTCGCCCCTTCTAGCACCTAAACGTCATCTCCAACCACCTTGTACACACACACCTACACAAAGGAGGAAATCCTTTAGGGTTGGTGGGAGTTGGGGGGCAGAGGAGCCAGTGATACAGCGCCTCAGAAACTATCCCAGGGCCCACGGAGTGCATGCACAAGCTATGTGAGGCTAACTTTGCTGCTGCAGAGCGAGGACCCCCACTGTCTGTCCTGGGTAACCTCTACCATCAGTCCCTACAGGTATGACCTCCTCATACAGTAACCTAAGCAGCAGGTAGCTAGGTGAAGGAGAGTGAGAAGCTGATAGGTGGCTGGTCCCACCACAGAGTCTGCATGATATGACATTCCCATTGAAAGACAATGAGAGAAGCCCCCACCTGGCTGGCGAGTTATCATTACAATTGCTCTTAAGATACATTTTATCAAGACCACAAAAGCCTTGCCAATTGTGAGCAGTCATTTTGGACCAGAGGCAGCAGGTGAGGTTGACAGAACAACAGCACAAAAGGAGCCAGGTCTCTGGTGACCTTGGAGCCACCACACTAGGCCTGGATTACCTGCCTCCAAAAGAGGAGTCTGCTTCCCTCCTCTTGAAGCCACTGGTGTTTGTGGTGGGATTGGTGCGTGCAGCCAAATCAAATCCTGTGCAATCCATCAGACTTTTCTGTGTTGGTCAATGTGAGTGTCAGCGAACAGGAGACACATGGGACTGGTGGGTGAGGAGCATGAATAATGGTGACTGAAGGGCAAATTGGGAGTAAATGAGAGCAAGGAGAGGCAAAGGGCAATGGAATGGAGGTGAATGAACACCAGAGTGGAGTGGATGTGGGCCAAAGTGAGGGAATGACTATGCATACATCAATTATGAATGAATATGAGATTATGATGAGATTAAGTAAATGCTGGGAAATAAGGCACAGTCTCAGTGGAAAAAAGGTGAAAGTGGGAACAGACTCTGAATGGGGCAACTGAAAGGGGTGAATGTGAGTGGAGTTTATATGAGTACTAAGGATTAGAGTGTGAATGAATGGTGGTTTTATGAGGCACAAGATGAATGAAGAGAGGGGAATTTAGGGAGACAATAGGAGTGAATGTGGGTAATGTGGGATGGAAAGGGAAGAATGGGGTGCGGGAAGGACAGAATAAAAGAGTGGAGATAGAGACATGGTAGAATGTGAAGCAGGCCGAGTTTGAGTGCGGGTGCTATGAGGGAGAAGGGTGACTAGAGATGACTGGGATTAGATGGGCGTAATACAGGGTAGTAGCCCAGGAACGTGGGTGTACAGGGATCCCAGTGGGAATCGGCAAATATGAATGAGCTGAAGAGTGCGCATGAATGGAGATGATGTTGGGCAGAGTGAGAGGGAATGAAAGTGAAGAGCAGAGGATGGGTGAAGGTGGGTATTGCGAGGCAGAGAGTGGAACTCACCTTTACTTGGGTGAGTAAAGCGAGGAAACATGGGGAGCCCGATGTGAGCAAAAGTAACGAATTTGAGGCACAGTGTGACAGAATGTGGGTACTGGGAGGCAGAATATGAGCAAGAAGAGGGTGATAGGGGTTACAATGGGAATAGATTTAAATGAATGAGGCAGTGAGAGGCAGAGTAAGAGTAAATGGAGGCAATGAAGAGAAAACTGAGAAAGAACAGTGACCAAGCATAGGCTAAGTATATGTGGGTAACTTCACCTAGTGTTTGGGAGTAATAGGGACAGAGCTCCAGGAAATGGGGGTGTTCCTGGGACAGCATCTGAGAGAATAGAGGTGAAGGAGGGGCAGAAAGGGAATGAATGGGGGAAATAATGAGGCCCCGGGTCAATGAAAGAAGCTGAAGGCTGGGCCACGTGCGAGTAAGCCAGAGTCATTTGATGCAGGGGTGGGAAATAGAGATAAATATAGGAAAGGAAATGAGTCTGAGCGAGAGTGAGTGGGGTGAAGAAGGAATATGACATGAGAGAATTTGGGTAATGCTAAGTAGACTGTGGGGAATTGTGATAATATGAGGCCCAGTATGGGTGAATATAAGTGGCTGAAAGGCAGTGTAAGTGAATGGAGGAACAAAAGGCAGAATGAGAATGAAGTTGAAAAAGCAGGCATAAGAATGTATATGTAATATGCCATTTGTAATATGAAACGTGGGGCACATTCCAGTAAATTAGGATGGAACAGCACTTTAAGTGCAGAGAGGTGAACCAAGGATGAGTGCTATGGTTTGAATATGTCCCTTCCAAAATTCAGATGTCAGAAACTTAATCCCCAATGCAACAGTGTTGGGAGGTAGGGCCTTTAATCCCCAATGCAACAGTGTTGGGAGGTGTTTAGGCTTCTGTGCTCTGTGTTCCAGAATCTACCACTTAGACCTTTGCTCATAGAGCCCAGAGTTCCAGAATGCCCCTAATTCCGAACACCACAGGGTGAGTCTGGAGCAAGTCACCTGGGAGGGCTTACAGGTGCCATAATGCAGGCCTGGGGCACTGTGGTAGTGACCTTGGCCACACTGATGGTTGTCACTGTGGATGCCAAGATCTATGAACGCTGCGAGCTGGCGGCAAGACTGGAGAGAGCAGGGCTGAACGGCTACAAGGGCTACGGCATTGGAGACTGTGAGAATCCCAGTTGCCCCTGAGCCACCCACCACATTCAGACCCAGACCCCCCTTGTCCTTTATCACCTCTCCAGGCCAGGGCATGAGCCCTTGAGTCACTCCCTGACTGACTATGCTGAGTAGTTTAACTAACTCTAACACCACCACCATTATGGCCTTCACAACCATCACCTCCATCTCTGCCATCAACACTATCACTACAATCAATATCACTGCTGTTACCATCATGAATACCATCGCTACCACCATCACTGACGTCTCACCAGAATCACCAACATCACCACCACTAAACCAAGATCACCACCCTCACAACTGAGATGACAACCATCCCTGTCCTCCCCCCATCCTATCCTTCCCTATTCCCAGGCTCTATACCTACTCCTTGCCTCCCTTCTCCCTGCCCCAGGGCTGTGCATGGCTCATTATGAGAGTGGCTTTGACACCGCCTTCGTGGACCACAATCCTGATGGCAGCAGTGAATATGGCATTTTCCAACTGAATTCTGCCTGGTGGTGTGACAACGGCATTACACCTACCAAGAACCTCTGCCACATGGATTGTCATGGTAAGTCAGCACTGGGGACACACTGAAGCCCTGCTGGGCCCTACTCTCCCACACTTGGAGGGCAAGGTTGTTTAAGCCATAATCTCCTGCAACAAGAGAAAAGTGATGGGAAAAGGAGAAAAGTTGCCTGAGCAACTTTTGGTTGTTTAGGACAGAAGAGCTCAGAGCTCAGAGCTCCCAATCCTCACCCAGAAAGGACACTGCAGTTTTCTTAGACTCAGGAAACAGGAAACTTACCTCCATGTGGAATAGAGATAGAGACTGTCCTGATTTGGGGTTGAAGTTACCCAGGCCCCGAGGAAAGAAGCAAATGTCTGATTCTAGAAACAGAAACAGATAACCTCCATGCAGAAATGACAGAACTTTCCAGATAAGACTGGTGTTGTTGAGGACAAAATAGAATAGCAGTTAAAGTTGTTCAGTGTTGGCCAAAATGGCGGTTGAGGTTGTCCAAGACAGGAAAAAATGGAGACTGAGGTTATTTGGGGCCAGCCCAAATGGAAATTGAGGTTGTCCAGGACCAGATAGTATGGGGGTTGGGATTATTCATAACTAGCCAACATGACCATCCAGATAATCCAGGATCAGTCAACATGAGTTAAGGTTGTACAGAACCAGCTAACATGGTGATTAAGATCATTTATAACCAACTGACAAGAGAATCAAGGTCATCCAGAATCAGCCAACATAGTGGTTGAGGTTCTTCAGGCCCCAAAGAACCCAAAACCCCTGGGCCCTCCATTCACTGTTACCCTATCCCCAATGCACTAGATCAGCATGTCCCTCTCTTCCCCCTCAGACCTGCTCAATCGCCATATTCTGGATGACATCATGTGTGCCAAGCAGATTGTGTCCTCACAGAATGGGCTGTCTGCCTGGTAAGTTCATGGGGATGACCCGGACTGTGGGCAGCCAGGGATAGTGTCACTGCCACCCCATCAACCTGTCCACTTCATGCTCTCTCTTTTCCTTCATTTCCCAGGACTTCTTGGAGGCGGCACTGTTCTGGCCATGATTTATCTGAATGGCTCAAGGGGTGTGATATGAACGTGAAAATTGATCCGAAAATTCATCCATGACTCAGATTCGAAGAGACAGATTTTATTTTCCTTTCATTTCTTTCTCTTGTGCATTTAATAAAGGATGGTATTGATAAACAATGCAAAAAATGCTGTGATGTCTGACTCTCTTCATTTATTCAATGCCCGGAAGTACCCTTCCGTCACAGTATTCTGTCACTTCCTCCATATATTCAAAGCTTTAATTAAGAAATACCAGATCACTCAGGGTGGGGAAGGAAGGGAGGATAGTGTTGTGAATCAAGAGCATGTGTTCTCCTGGGTTCAAAAACCATCTCTACCGGCCGGGCGCGGTGGCTCAAGCCTGTAATCCCAGCACTTATCACGAGGTCAGGAGATCGAGACCATCCTGGCTAACACGGTGAAACCCCGTCCCTACTAAAAAATACAAAAAACTAGCCGGGCGAGGTGGCGGGCGCCTGTAGTCCCAGCTACTCAGGAGGCTGAGGCAGGAGAATGGCATGAACCCGGGAGGCGGAGCTTGCAGTGAGCTGAGATCCGGCCACTGCACTCCAGCCTGGGCGACAGAGTGAGACTCCGTCTCAAAAAAAAAAAAAAAACCCAAAAACCATCTCTACCACCTACTAGCTGTGTTGCCTTGGAAGAGATACTTAATTTCTCTGTGCCTCAGTTTCCTCATCTGTTAAATAAGGATGATAATAATAGTAACTACTTGATGGGGTTATTGGGAGGATTAAATGAATTAGTATTTGTAAAACGCATAAAGTGCTTGGTACATAAGACAGTTATACGTTTGGAGATAGAGGAGTGGGATGGGAGAGATGAAAATTGGCTTCCCTTAAAAAGAATCAGTCTCTTAAAAAGAATCAGGGTGCGGTGGCTCACGCCTGTAATCCCAGTACTTTGGGAGGCCAAGCCAGGCGGATCATGAGGTCAGGAGTTCGAGACCAGCCTGGCAAATATGGTGAAACCCCATCTCTACTAAAAATACAAAAAAAATTTAGCCGGGTGTGGTGACACGGACCTGTAGTCCCAGCTACTCAAGAGGCTGAGGCAGAAGAATTGCTTGAACCCAGGAGGCGGAGGTTGCAGTGAGCCGAGATCGTGCCACTGCACTCCAACCAGGGTAACAGAGCGAGACTCTGTCTCAAAAAAAAAAAAAAAAAAAAAAAATCACTCTCAGTTCAGGTCACTACAGGGTCTTTATTTAAGGCAGATACCGTCTCTTCAGGGGAGAATGAATTCAAAAGGATTGTGCTTACACAGGAAGCTCAGTGGGAATTAGGAGTTAAAGGTACATTTTCCTGCATCCTGCCACACAACACCATTCTTCCAGCCCCCCAGGCCCTCTTTCATGATCGAAGCCTGAAGTTTCAAATGACAGAGCGGGAATGTAGGCAAAACATTCAATGGACATGCATGGTAATAATTTCTTCTTACAGAATGCCTGAGTTTCACTTTGTGTCTTGAGCAGAGAATTTAGGAATTTCAATTTGCCATTCTTTGCAACGACCAGCACCTTTGGAAGCAGCCACTCCCATAAGGAAGCAGTCCCTCATGTTCTTTGTACTCTTTGGTTGGGGTGGATACTCAAGTACCTGAGGCCTTGAAGTGTTCACTTCAACCAAGATAATCACAGATGATCATGAAAACAGCTAGCTGTCACTGCATGCCAAGGAATGCCAGAGCCCCCTTCCTTAATGCCAACTGGATTTCCCCTGCCTTGTGCCCCAACGAGCCTAGGTAATCAAATCTCACATCTCCCTATGGGTCCATAAAGGGTGCCAACGCTTTGGATACTGATTTCTTGTTTTTTTCTTCTTTTCTTTCTTTCTTTTTCTTTTCTTTCTTTTTTTTTCTTTTTCTTTTTTTTTTGAAATGGAATCTTGCTCTGTTACCCAGGCTGGAGTGCAGTGGCTCATTGCAATCTCCACCTCCCGGGTTTAAGCGATTCTCCTGCCTCAGCTTCCTGAGTAGCTGGGATTACAGGCACCCACTACCACACCCAGGTAATTTTTGTATTTTTAGTAGAGACGGAGTTTCACCATGTTGGGCAGGCTGGTCTTGAACTTCTGACCTCAGGTGATCCACCCGCCTTAGCCTCTCAAAGTGCTGGGATTACATGGCCTAAAGTATATTTTTAATTGCTGTTCTTTAGTGGCTATTTTTAAATCTGTAGCTACCTATCATTTGATAAACCCTTTTGTTCTTGTATCGCACTTATTCTCCATTATGACAAAACAGCGATTCTTAATAATAGTAGATTTTATTAATTTTTCTGTGAGAGTTTGTTATTAAATCTGGAGACATTTTTCCTAAGTATCATTTCCAAGGACTATGCTTATTTAATTAATTAAATTGGGTTTCCCTTAATACCTGCGGCTAGATTTATGGTGAGGTTTGGCTTCCAACTGACAGCCCTCATATCTTCAAGGCCTCAAGATGTGCCTCTCTAGCTGGTCATCAGCTTGCCAGGCTTCTAGAAAGAATAATAATAATCCACACTCTAGCCTGTGAATACAACTTTGTCAGAAGCAGGTCTCTGGTGGGACTGACTTTTCTTTCAAGCCTATATACCAGTCAGAAAGAAATTCCAAGTACATTTCTTTCCTACACTCTGAGCTTGAGAAAAAACAAACAAACAAACAAAAACCCAAGTTGCTGTAATAGAAATTGGAATGGGAAAGTGATGATAAATATAAGCGAATTTTATTGTTTAAGAAAAATACTTTAAAACTGGGGAGAGGCTAGGCACGGTGGCTCATGCCTCTAAGCACTTTGGGAGGCCAAGGCGGGTGAATCACTTGAAGTCAGGAGTTCGAGACCAGCCTGGCCAACATGACAAAAACCCGTCTCTACTAATAACACAAACACACACACACGCGCGCATACGTGCACACACACACACACAAAAATAGTCATGCGTGGTGGCATGCACCTGTAATTCCAGGTACACAGGAGGCTGAGGCATGAGAATCACTTTAACCCAAGAGGCGGAGGTTGCAGTGATCTGAGATTACGCCACTACACTCCAGCCTGGGCGACAGAGTGAAATTGTGCTTCAAAAATACATAAATAAATAAAACTAAAATAAGGGAGAGAAGGTAAAAATAGGTTTAGGGAGCCATGAGCAGGGGAAAGGGAGATTAGAAGGATACCACATCCAGGATTTGTGGGGAGAAGGACTCAAACAGAACGCAAAGAGCCTTTTAGGAAAGCTGGAAGCAATTGAGGTGAACAAGAGAATAAGCAGAAGGACGAGGCCAGATTGTGGTGAGGCTAGCTCTTCACCATCTCACTCCAACATTACTGTGACACAATAGCTCACAAAACTAACAATTTGCAGTTAGCAATATCCTTTAAGAAGATATTTCTGAGCTTTCAAAGATGTCCAGCCCTCACTGACCCACTGCAGTATCCTTCTCATCACTTCCCTTCTTTCTTTCTTTTCTCTCTCTCTCTCTCTCTTTCTTTCTTCCTCTCTCTCTCTCTCTCTCTTTTTCTTTCTTTCTTTCTGACAAGGTTTCATTCTGTCACCTAGGCTGGAGTGCAGAGGTGCGATCTCAGCTCACTGCAACCTCCGCCTCCTGGGTTCAAGCGATTCTTGTGCCTCACCCTCCCAGGAAGCTGGGACTACAGGTGTGGCCACGACACCCAGCTAATTTTTGCATTTTTAGTAGAGAAGGGGTTTCACCATGTTGGCCTAGCTGGTCTCAAACTCCTGACCTCAAGTGATTCGCCTGCCTCAGCTTTCCGAAGTGCTAGGATTATAGGCGTGAGCCACTGTGCCTGGCCTGCTCATTTCTTTCTTATCTGTACAACTCAAACTTGGGACTTCTCTGTCTGTGATCCAAAGTCCTCCCTCCTCCAAAGAGGCAATCATATCTGGTTTGGTCACAGGATACCCTGGAACAGAAAATGATACAAGACTTGGGCACGTCTGTGTGGGCTTTGGGATCTCAAAAAGTTAGAAAGGTACATATTCACGAGGGTAAATTTCACATGGGAGATGAAAATAGAAACACATTGTTCAGTCTAGGAGGGATTAAGAATCTTTAATCCCTAGAACCTGAGGTCAAAATATTGAAGCACTTCAGAGATGGAAAGTTATTCTACTAGATATACCATGAATTACTCAGGGAAGCCATCCTCACCCACAGAGACCAAATGGCTAAAGTTCCATAGTATCACATCTCTATATCTCTCTACAGTTCTCTAGCATCACAGGGTCCTCTGAGGAGGACCAATCAGTTCCACTGCTCCTGGGTGAAATCCACAGCCACATTGTCAAATGACATGATCCCTGTAATTGAATGCTTCTATTCAATAGGTCGGATAAAAATCAAAATGATAATACTTTCAAAAATAAAGAACATATTCTTCAGAGAGAATATTTCATTTCAAAAAGGACTTTTTCATTTGAAATGAAATATTTCATTTCAAAAAGGGCTTTTCTGAGATATTTGCAATACCTATCTACAGCAAAGGACTTTTATACTATAGAAACTATAAAGAACTCCTACAAACAATAAGATAAATATAGATAGATAATCCAATAGAAAAACCAGAAAAAAAGATTTGAACAGGTAATTCACAAAAGAGAATACCCAAATGGCCAATATATATGTAAAAAGGTGCTCACCATCACTAGTCATCAGAGAAAGGCAAACTTAAACCACAATGAGATACCACTATATGCCAACAGAAAACTAAAATTAAGACCAACAATCTTCAGCTTTCCTGAAAGGCTTTTTGAATCCTTTCTTCCTTCCTTCCCTCCTTCCTTCCTTCCTTCCTTCCTTCCTTCCTTCCTTCCTTCCTTCCTTCCTTCCTTCCCTCCCTCCCTCCCTCCCTCCCTCCCTCCCTCCCTCCCTCCTTCCTTCCTTCCTTCCTTCCTTCCTTCCTTCCTTCCTTCCTTTCTTTCTTTCTTGAGACGGAGTTTTGCTCCTATCACGCAGGCTAGAGTACAGTGGCACGATCTCGGCTCACTGCAACCTCCGCCTTCCGGTTTCAAGTGATTCTCCTGCCTCAGCCTCCGAAGTAGCTGGGATTACAGGCGCCTGACACCACGCCTGGCTAATTTTTGTATTTTTAGTAGAGATGGTGTTTCACCATGTTGGTCAGGCTGGTCTCAAACTCCTGACCTCGTGATCCGCCCACCTTGGCCTCCCAAAGTACTGGGATTACAGGCGTGAGCCACCCCACCAGGCCCAGCTATCTGCATTCTATTTGAGTCTTTCTCCCCCTAAATCCTGGATCTGTTCAGCCCTTCCAATTTCCCTCCAAATGTTGGCTGGAGGTAGAGCAACTGAAGCTCTCATACATTGTCGGTGGAAGTAAAATGGTGTAGGCACTTAACAGATTGGTAGAATCTAATAAAGCTGAACATCTAAATTAACATCTAAGTTAGTTTATCTAACTTATCTGCAAGAGGTAGATGATACACCTAACCTAGGATTCAGCAACTCCACTCTTAGGTATATACCCAGTGGAAATGCACACGTATATTCACCAAGACATGCACAAGAATACTCACAGAAGCATTATTTGTAATAGCTAAAATGGAATATCCAACAGCAGGAGAATGGATTAACAATTGTGATATGTTTATACAAAAGGAATAGTGAATAGTATGGAAAAAGAACAGACTACTGACACATAAAGTAACAAGGATGGATCTCAAAAACATTATGGTAAGTAAAAGAAGCCAGATCCAAAAGAATAATAATGTGTGATTCCATTTATACGACATTCAAGAACTGGCAAAAATAATCTATGGTGGTAGAAATCAGAAAGTCGTTAGCCGTGAATCAAGCGATAGTGATTGGAAGTGGCATGATGGAGGCTTCTGGGTGGCTTGTCATTTCCTGCTTTTTGATCCAGCTATGGGTTACAAAGGTGTTTTCACTTGGCAGAAGTTCATTAAACCGTATACTTTATACGCTTTTCTCTGTATGTTCTGCTTCAATAAAAGGTCTGACCCAAAACATTTTCATCTAAGTTAGTTTTCCCTAAAAGGTTTTAAAAAACAGTAAGAGGGTCGGGCACAGTGGCTCACACCTGTAATCCCAGCACTTTGGGAGTTCGAAATCAGACTGGCCAACATGGTGAAACCCTGTCTCTACTAAAAATACTAAAAATACAAAAATTAGCAGGGCATGATGGCACGCGCCTATAATCCCAGCTACTCAGGAGTCTGAGGCAGGAGAATGGCTTGAACCCGGAGGCAAAGGTTGCAGTGAGCCAAGATTGCGCCACTGCACTCCAGCCTGGGCAACAGAGTGAGACTCTGCCTGAAAAAAAAAAAAAAAAAAAAAAAAAAAAAAAAAAAAAGCAAAGCAAAGAAAAGAAAAAGGCTGGGCGTGGTGGCTCATGCTTATAATCTCAGCACTTTGGGAGGCCAAGGGAGGTGGATCACCCGAGGTCAGAAGTTCAAGACCAGCTTGGCCAACGTGGTGAAACCCCGTCTCTACTAAAAATCCAAAAAATATTAGCTGGGCGTGGTGGCGCATGCCTGTAATCCCATCTACTTCGTAGGCTGAGGCAGGAGAATCACTCGAACCTGGGAGGGGGAGGTTGTAGTGAGCTGAGATCGTGCCCTTGCACTCCAGCCTGACCAACAAGAGCTAAACTCCGTCTCAAAAAAAAAAAAAAAAAAAAAAAAAAGTAAGAGAAAGATTTAAAACTCCCACAGAAAAAAAAGTAGCATTTGTCAACTTCATTGACAAACACACACAAAAGAAATGAGATATTTTCAACTATCAAATGGCAAGGATTAAAACCATGACAAGAAGATTAGAAAGGGTATTTTCATTCATTATTAGTGGGGGGTGTCAACTTGAACTAACTTTTCAAAAGGCAATTTGGCAATGTCTATGAAAGTTCAAAACGTGCCCACCTTATGAACCAGACATTCTAGAAATGCTCACCACTGTGTACAAAGATAGATGACAAGATAAAAAAATAACAGATACTGCTGAGGTTGTAGACAAAAGGGAATGCTTATACACTGTTGGTGGGAATGTAAATTAACTCAACCACTGTGAAAAGCAGCGTGGCAATTCTTCAAAGAGCTAAAGAGAGAATTACCATTCAACCTAGCAATCTCATTACTGGGTATATAGCCAAAGGAATATAAATTGTTCTACCACAAAGATGCATGCATGCATATGTTCATTGCAGCACTATTCACAATAGCAAAGACATGGAATCAGCCTAAATGCCCATCAATGGTAGACTGTACAAAGAAAATGTGGTGCATATGCACCGTGGAATACTATGCAGCCATCAAAAAGAATGAGATCAGGCCAGGTGCACTGGCTCTTGCCTGTAATCCCAGCACTTTAAGAGGCCAAGGTGGGAGGATCATGTGAGCCCAGGAGTTCAAGACCAGCCTGGATGACATAGCAAGACCTCATCTCTAGACTTCGTCTCTACAAAAAACAATAATAACAATTTTGAAAAGAACAAGATCATGTCCTTTGCAGCAACATGAATAGAGCTGGAGGCCATTATCCTTGACAAACTAACACAGGAACAGAAAACTAAATACGGCATGTTCTCACTTATAAGTGGGAACTAAATGATGAGAACTGATGGACACAAAGAGGGGAACAACAGACACTGGGGCCTACTTGAAGGTGGAGGGTGGGAGGAGGGAGAGGATTAAAAACATAACCATTGGGTTTAGTACCTTGGCAATGAAATAACCTGTACAACAAATCCCCGTAACATGAGTTTACCTATATAACAAACTTGCACATGTACTCCTGAACCTAAAATAGAAGTTAAAGAAAAAGACAAGAGAGATCACTGCCGCACTGTAGCAGAAATTACACAGAAGTCCTTCAATATGGGGCTGATTAATAAATCATGATACATGCATACAAGAAAAAAAAAGCATCTCTTAAAAATATCACTATGTCCTGATACTGAAATACCTTCCATTAACAAGTGTTCATTAAGTCGGGGCTATTCCAGCTCTAAGTTCCAGTAAGCAGCTGTGCAAGCCCATGCCATCTGCTTATCCACTCTGGTACTCAGCTTCCTTATCTGTAAGAGGTAGATAACAATGGTACCTACTTCCTAAGGTCATTATGAGAACTAAAAGTGATCACGCATATATAATGCTTAGTAAGGTGTCAGGTGCAGTGTAAGTTCACTACATGTTGGCTCCTGTTGTGTCACTTCTATTATCATTATCATTACTACTGTGACCATTATTAATATTATTCTGGAAAGGGCAAATGGAATGACAAAACAGTTTTACCTAATGAGCAGATTTTAGCAAAAGGAAGACATTTACATACATATATATTTATATGTGTATGTAAATATAAAGAGAAAGAACAAGGGGGAGAGAGAGGTGTATAGGTGGAAATTAACCAAATTCATCAGAAATTGGTTATTTGGAATGAGTGGTGATATGGGATTATAAGTGAATTTCCCCTTTTAGATTGTATATTCCTCAAGAGTTTGGATTTTTGGTGTGCCACTTCTAAATCACTTCTGTAGCAAGAGAAAAAAATGACAAAATAATATAGACTTTCTTAAAAAGGGCAGAAGGGAAAGTACTGAACATGCTTAGGGACATCATGAATTCTGAGCCTAAAAAGGAAAAGGGCAGACCTTCGGGTTGCTCAGGCTGTACTGAAACCCCAGATGTGGAAAAACTACATATAGATTAGAAAAGAATTTGAAGGGCATGGGGTTTACTGATTCTTCCTGATGATCAAGGTTTTATCCATATATTGAGCCAGAACATAAGAGGTATTTATGCAGACATGACTTTGATTTCCTGAAGAGTCACATCTTTTTAGTTCTGCTTTAGCAGGACACCTTTGGTTCACATGAAGACATATTTTAAGTCACAGCAGAGCAATCCTATCCCTGTATTTATCACAAGATTGCTGATAAGGGACTTGGCTGATGCATCAGAGAACTGTCTTATCAAGGAAATCTTTGCTTCTGAGGAAGTGGCTTACTTTCTCTGTATGGGTGAGATAAAGAAAGCAAATGAGCTTTTTCCCCCTCTACGTTGTGGCTTCTAGGAAGCTCAGAAAAATAACTGTAGCTCAACATAATTATGTAGAATCCTATGATATATATATAGACATTTCAGCCTGGCCCTGGTTTTGCTCTACTTCCGTATTCCTTTTTATGTGTTTATATGTATCCATTTTATGGTATTAATAATAATATAATAATATTAAACTCATGTATGTGCTAGGCATTGTTGTAAACACTTATATTGACTCAATTGATATACACAACAACCATACAAGGCAGGCATTATTATTATTATCATTAACATCATCATCCCCATTTTACAGTTAGGGAAACTAAGGCACAAAGAGGTTAAATGACGGCTCTGCCCACAGACCACCAGCCCTCTCACTTCCGTTCTATGTGAACTCTGCCCTGCCTCATACCCTGCTCTGATGTTAAGATCTGAATTCCTATTCGGGCAAGGTCCCCTTGTGTTTCCACAATCAGTCACGACTTCCTCTGACAGCCACCTTTTTCCGACCTTTACCCAGGATTAGGTACTGCCAGTCACTATATTTGCTCATGCACAGTACCGTTCCCAAAGCCATTGGCACTAGCAGCCAAAGTTGTTTTGTGGTTTTCTTTAATTTAAGGATTAAATTTTTAAAAATTGTACATATTTGTGGGGTGTAGAGTGGTTATTTCAATATATGCATACAATGTGTAATGATCAAATCAGGGTAATTAGCATGTGCATCGCCTCAAATATTTATCATTTCTTTGCGTTGGGAATATTCAAAATCTTCTCTTCTAGGTATTTAAAAATGTACAATAAATTATTGCTAACTATAGTTATCGAACAGTGCTATAGAACACCAAAACTTTTTTGTTCCTTAACTGCAATGATTGTACGTCTTTGGCTGGCAAGAAAAATGGCCGTGCCAGTAAACCAGCTTGTCAAGGGAGCAGGCATCTTTAGAGCCCTTACCATTCCGTACAGGAGAGTAATATGCCTCTTAAGGTTTGGAAAAGATAGAACTCCGAGAGGACTTTGAAGACTTGGCGATAAAAGTGGGGCCCTTTGTGCAAAGTTAGTGACGGGCAAATTATGGGCGTGTATGGGGTGTTTCAAGAGAACGGGTGTGTAAAAATGTAGAGTTCAGGACCACAGACCCCTCCGCTGGGAGATACCACTGAGGAGATGGGGGAGGCCTGAAATGGTACGGACCTCCCCGGTACCTATCGCCGGGGAGAAAGGATGCAGAGTCGGTGAAAATACATTCCTCCCTCCACAGGTCAGTATCACTGGGCAGACAGGGAGAACGTGTGGAGCTGGTAGTTCTTTCAAGAAAACAACAGTAGGGAGATAAATACTATTAACCTAGCGGTGGCGAAGGCTCAGGTTGGTACAGTCCGTTGTGGAAGATACCACTGGTGCAAATAGGGAGGTGTGGTACAATCTGTCCTCGGAAAAAGAAACGTGAAGAAAGTGACATTGGTAAACATAGGCGCAGGGAGAGTTGGAGACAGAAGCCTAGGGATAAAGGAGCCCGGGTGAGGTGGAATCTTAGTCGGAGACTAGGTGAGAAGACAGATCTGATTGTGACCCCGCCAGGCCTCCTGGGAACCTGTTGCAGAGAGATTTGAGAGGGCGGAGATTCCAGAGTCCCAGTCCTATGGGGCCTTCCTGAGGCCTAGGGGAATAACCGGGAGACAGACAGTGATCAGGTTCCGGACCTCAAACACTCTGCCCTATTAATCACATTCTACCAATTGATCACCTGAAAGAAAATGCACAGGTGAGCCCTTTCAGGCTATTGCAATAGGGAAAACTTTCCTTAATGAGGAACATCCCAAAGACAAGGAAGGAGACCTCGGGTTGTATAGAGGCAGGTAAGGAAAGGAGTCATCCTTGAGTCATCAGGACAGATAGAGATAGGTCTTATCTCAGAATATGCAGATACATTAGGGACTACTATAGACTGAATTGCGCCCCTCCCCCATCCCCCAAATTCGTATGTTGAAGCCCAAACTCTCAATGTGATGGTATTTGAGGATGGGGCCTTTGGGAGGTAATTAAGGCTATATGAGGTCATGAGGGTGGGGCCTTGGTGTAATGGGATTAGTGCTCTTTTAAAAACAGACGTCCAAGAGTTTGCTCACTCTCTCTCCATTTGCACAAAAAAGAGGTGATGTGAGAACAGAGTAAGAAGGCAATTGTCTGCAAGCCTTATGGCTTTCTTTTTAGAGAACCCTCACCAGGAACCAAATCAGCTGGCCTCTTCATCTTGGACTTCTCCCAGCCTCCAGAACTATGCCAAATAAACCTCTGGTTTAACCCATCCAGTCTGTGGCATTTTATTATGGTAGCCTGAGCAGGCAATCCAGAGACTTTTAAAGTTAGCCCTTTGCTGGAACCCCAAAGGGAGCTGGGAGCTGTGAGAATTTTGTAACCGTGACTGCTTTCCAGGAGCACAGGACCCATTCAGATATAAAGTAACACCGTCACTCCCCTTCCAGCTCACTCTGCCCTCATGGCTCCTACTCCTTCCCACTCTACCAATCATTCACATCTATTCTCTCCCACGGTGCCCCCAGTTTCCCCCCATTCAGTCACACTGCCATTTGCTTTCATTCATTCTGCTTCATGGCCACCGTTCACACATCTTGTACCTCATATAAACACCTTTTTTTTTATTGTGGTAAAATACACATAACGTGAAACTTAGCTATTTTAACTATTTTACATTGTACAATTCAGTGCCATTTAGGACATTCACAGTATTGTGCAACTATTACCACTATTTAATTCTAGACCGTCTTCACCACCCCAAAAGGAAACCCCATCCCCATTAAACAATCATTCTCTATTCCCCTTTCCCCCCAGTCCCTGGCTACCACTTAATCTGCTTTCTGGTGCTATAGATTTGCCTATTATGGCTATTTCATATAAGTAGAATCATACACTATGTGGTCTTTTGTGTCTGGCTTCTTTCACGTGGCATAACGTCTTCAAGGTTAATCAGTAACAGTACTTCATTCCTTTCTGTGGCTGAATAATATTCCATTGTATGGATATACTATACTCTATTTGGTTTACCCACTCATCAGTTGATAGATATTTGAGCTGTTCTACCTTTTGGCTATTATGAATAGTGCTGCTATGAACATTGGTGGATAAGTTTTTGTTTGAATGCCTACCTGTTTCCCATTTTATTACATATATAACTAGGAGTGGAATTGCTGGATCATATAGTATTTCTATGTTTAACTTTTTGAGGAACCACCAAACTGTTTCCTACAGTGGCTGTACCATTTTACTTTCCAACCAGCAGTGTATTAGGGTTCCAATTTCTCCACATCCTCTCTAACACTTGTTGTTTTGTTGGTTTTTATTGTAGTCATCCTAGCAGATGTAAAGTGGTATCTAATTGTGGTTTTGATTTGAATTTCCCTGATGACTAATAACAAATCTTTTCATGAGCTTATTGGCCATGTGTATATCATGTATATCTTATTTGGAAAAATATATATTCAAGTCCTTTGCCCAGTGTTAACTGGGGATTTTTTGGTTATTAGATTGTAAGAGTTCTTTATATATTCTGGATACCCTTATCAGATTATAATTTTCCCATTCTCTGGGTTGTCTTTTCATTCTCCTGATAATGTCATTTGATACACAAAAGTTTTCATTTTTATTAAGTCAAATTATTCATTTTTTTATTTTTTTCCTTATGCTTTTGGTATCATATCTAAGAAACAATTGCCAAGTCCAAAGTCATGAAGATTTATTCCTTCATTTTCTTCTAGTTATTTTACAGTTTTAGTTCTTATATTTAGGTCTTTGATCCATTTTGAGTTAACTTTTATATATGGTATGGGGTTATGGTACAACTTCATTCTTTTACATGTGGATATCTATTTTTTCCAGTGCCATCTGTTGAAGGGACTATTCTTTCCCCATTAAATGATCTTGGCATCCTAATCAAAAATCATTTGAGCTGCATGGGTTTTTTTCTGGACTTTCAATTCTATTCCATTGATCTATATGTTTATCCTGGTGCCAGCACCACACTGTTTTGATTACTGTACCTTTGCAGTAAGTTTTGAAATAGGGAAGTGTGAGTCTTCCAACTTTGTTCTTCTTTTTCAAGATGATTTTGGCTATCCAGGGACTCTTGCAACTCCATATAAATTTTAGGATTAACTTTCCCCTTATGCACAAAAGGGATTTGGGATTTTGCTAGAGATTACATTGAATATGTAGGTTGCTTTGGGGAGTATTGCCATCTTAAAAATGTTAAGTTTTCCTTAACTATCCACGAACACTTTCCTTTTATTTAGTTTTATTTTTTATTTAGTTTTTCCTTTTATTTAGTTTTCCTTACTTTTTTTTTTTTTTTTTTTTTTTTTTTGAAGTCTCGCTCTGTCACCCAGGCTGGAGTGCAATGGTGTGATCTTGGCTTACTGTAACCTCCACCTCCCAGGTTCAAGCAATTCCCCTGCCTTAGAACCTCCTGAGTAGCTGGGATTACAGGCGCCCACCACTACACCTGGATAATTTTTTTTGTATTTTTAGTAGAGACAGAGTTTCACCATGTTGGCCAGGATGGTCTTGAACTCCTGACCTCAGATCTTGAACACCTGCCTCGGCCTCACAAAGTGCTGGGATTACAGGCGTGAGCCACCGCACCCGGCCTTCTTTACTTTCTTTCAGCAATGTTTTGTACAGGTCTTGCATCTGCTTGGATAACTTTATTTCTCAGTATTTTATTCTTTTTATCCTATCGTAAACAAAATTGTTATCTTAATTTACGTTTTGGATTTTTCATCGATAGTGTATAGAAAAGCAATTGATAGCTGTGTGTTGATCTTGTATTCTGCCATTTTGCAAGATTTGTTTATGAGTTCTAATAGTTTTTTTTTGTGGATTCTTTAGGATTTTCTATATATATAAAAATCATATCATCTGGGAATATAAATAGTTTTACTTTCTTTCTAATTTGGGCACCTTTTCTTTCTTTCTTTTGCCTGAAAATTTATCTGGCTAGAACTTTGAGTACAATCTTTAATAGAAGTGACGAAAGCAGGCATCCTTATCTTGTTCCTATAACTCTCTACCCTTAAACTTTTATACCAGAATTTCTAAGGACCAGTTAGGATGAATTACACCTTCACTGTTATATAAATGAGCCAAACATGGTCTACGTATTGACCCCCAGGTTGTTTATTTCTTCACTGCAGGCTGAGACCCCTTAACTCAAAAGTTTGCTGGCACCAAACAAATTTTTACACACCCAATTATTTTATAATTAGCCCAAACAAATAGACTTTTATCCATTGAGAGCCTATTGAGAGCCTTCCTGCTTTACATACCCCAGAAAACCTGGCACTACATCTTTCATCTTTGAAGAATAGATAAGTTAGGCCCCAGGCCATAAAATACCCAAAGCTGCTGCTGCCACCCTTCAGAGTTCTCTGACCCAGAGACTTTTCTCTTTGCTGCTGAGTGACATCACCTAGACAAATAAAACCCCGTCTTGATGCCCAAGCAGTTCCCTTGTCGTTCTGCCCTTCCGAATAGCTGACCAGTGTCCATAACCTCTGTACAGACTCCTCCTGTGAGGGACTTCATGCAAACCTGTCACAGAATCACCCCATAACCCTTATTATGCTATGCCACCTTGTGGTCATATATTTCCTTCATCAACGCCCTAAATTGCTCAAAATCCCTGTAAGTGACAAGGAGGAAAAGGGAAGGATTTCTGGTAATCATGAAATAGATAGGAGAGAGTAGGACAATTAATTGGTAAAACAATCCTGGATGGTATCAAGCGGTGGAACTCAAAACTTGGAATGCCATTACATCCATCAGTTTGGCATGGGATTGCTCTGTGCTGTGTCCCATACTCTACATTTGTGGGTTTTCTCTGTGCCTCACTAGCCTGGCTAAGCAGTAACACCAGTATTTGAATGAATCTACTTCATTAGAACTGACTTTTGGGATCAGGTGTGGAACTGCCTGGGGAAGGAGGTCACCCTACCCGCCTGGGGCCCCACTAGGCAGGGAACTGCTGGGGCACCCACAGGACACTACAAGGCCTGTGGATCTGAACACAAAAGGAGGGGGGAGTACACATCTCTGGACTGAGGGTGGGCTATCCTGACCCCATGACTGGCTAGAGTGGGAGGAGCCCCGTGAATTGGCCCTGTGATTTGGGGTACTCTGAGACGCATATGACACGTGAACATGGCTCTAAGGCAGCAACGTCGGGCTGACGTGGATTCCCTAAGCACAGCTGGGGGAGGCGCTTTTGTAAACAGCTAGCATGCCTCTGCTCTTGTCACATTTGAATTTGCTATTACAGACGACGTCACTTCTGTTCCTTTCCGGAGCAATATCAGGACCACAGATTTGTTGAGGTGGGGCAAAACTGTTACTTCACGTGACTAAAGACAAGATGTTTATATTGTTGTCCCAACCAGTACTCCAAAGGAGGTGGCTGTCCTCTTGAATCCAAACCGGGGACCCATGTTGGGCTTGCTCGCTTCTCGCCAGGACACGGCCCAGAGGGTAGGTCTCATTCATACTAGCCACATCAAGCCTGGCTGTCTATTCTATGATTGGGGCATAGAATAATAATAACCCTTATTGTGCTACGCCACCTTGTGGTCATATAATCTTTCATCAGAGGAGACTAGAAGGCAGAGAAGACCCCGGAGAAGAGAACCGGCGCCCTCTAGAGGATGACGCAGCACAATACCACCATGAGAGAGTGAGGAACTTGACCCTCTCCTTTGCCAGCGACCACCAGCAAAGTCAAAAAGACTTTGAATCCACTTCAAAGCCCCCGTCTTGATGCCACAACAGTTCCCTTGTCGTTCTGCCCTTCCGAATAGCTGACCAGTGGTCATAACCTCTGTACAGACTCCTGTTGTGAGGGACAACAGGGAAGGGTCAAGAAGGAGAGGCCATTTCTCATTTGGAGGAGGAGACACCCTCTGTCTCACCCTACCTGTCCTTAAGGACCTAGCCAGGGAACCAAATGAAAAATCTACAGACGGCTGGGGGCGGTAGCTCACGCCTGTAATCCCAGCACTTTGGGAGGCCGAGGCAGGCAGATCACGAGGTCAGGAGATGGAGACCATCCTGGCTAACACAGTGAAATCCCGTCTCTACTAAAATACAAAAAATTAGCCGGGCGAGGTAGCGGGCTCCGGTAGTCCCAGCTACTCGAGAGGCTGAGGCAGGAGAATGGCGTGAACCCGGGAGGCGGAGCTTGCAGTGAGCCGAGATCGTGCCACTGCACTCCAGCCTGGGTGACAGAGTGAGACTCCATCT